CGCTGTGCTGAGAAAGCGCAGTGGGAAACAAACCCGGACTGCTGCGAGGTTCGCTAGCGTCTTTGAAGGCGAAGGCGGTCATGACCAAGCTTTCTTTCTGAAGAATATTGAACTTTCTGACGGTTTAGGATGCCGGGCCCTATCGGCCAATCAGTTGGTCTTGCAGCTTAAGGGACCAGAGGGATGCTCAGGCTTCCGGGACTTGCTCTCTATTGACCTTGAAATGACCACTCTTAAGGGAAACTAGAGCAACCTCGAAGATGGATATCCTTTTCTCCTTTCGTCCGGATGTGTTGGTGGTACAGGAGACGCAAGATGCTGCTTCCGATTCCCGAATTGATAAGTTATTAGCTCTTTCATATCGACTCATTCTCTGTTGCGCGATTACGGGCTGAACCTCGACTTCAGGATCGCCCTTACCAGGTCACCTGCTTTTATACATCCCCATATTACGTAGGTATTGGTCGATTATCTGTATGTTGCTGTACCAAACGGAAAGTGCATTGCATGGGTACGGCAGGCAATGCACGTATATGCACCATAAGGATGAGGTCCCCAGACTTGAGACACCACCAGTCCTGTTTTCAGCAATGTGAGTGGTACAAGAAGAAGGAGTGTCCTTTCCAGCCCGGTGGTGAGGTAAGGTCGGTAGACCTTGCACACTCCCATCTGACAAGGCCGTCTTCTTCCTAGTGGCCGGGCTCTGACCTTCACCGCTCGCGCTGTCCAGTAACCTGCCGTTCACAGCCACTCCTACTGTCGGTACTGCAGGTGATCGGTAGCCCTGGGCTCACGTGTGGAAAACCCGTAGAGTGGCCAGATTTAGGGCTTCAAGCTTGGGTATTGATTTGCATTAATCGCTTGTATGTCTTCCTTGAATTCCGAAAGTCAAAGAGCTGGCGATGAATGCAGCATGGCTCACAAACGGGGGTTCTGACACGAATCATCATTCCAGCCGTTAGTTTTTTCTCAGCCACTGTTGGAGGTCTTGCCTAAGGAGCGAAAAAGGCGCACACATACACAGATATGATTGTGCGCTCAGCACACACCCCTTCGACAGGAAAACTTTGACACGGCACGGAGAACTTGCCTCACCAGGCCAGTGACAGGATGGCGTACGCCGGAAACTGCAAGAGAAGCTGTATTGCATTCCTAGGCGGCCTTATTGAAAACCAATCCTCATTTCTATGCTGACCGTCATTGACCATAGGCGCAGAAGCCGTCACAAGACTGTTCGACATGTCCACATGATGCACAAGTGACGACAGAGTGCTGAAATAGGGGTCGCTCCCTGGCAAAACAACCGCTGGAACAGCACAATTGGGTTGTCCGCTGTCACTGCCTCGCGACTCCAGCCCTTGATCGCGCACACCGACACGTCCAATAAACGATATCTCCTGAAGCACTCAGATTGGCCGAGGCTCCCAATCTGCGGCCGGAAGAGCCAAGGATCCTTTGTTACGCAATGATTGACCGCTAACTGCCTTGAAGCAGCCCTCAAGTAGAGGAAGAGGAAAGAAGCCTTCACCGCGAGCATCGAGCGAACCGCCCGCCTCAGTACACGCCCCGGCGGTCCCTCTCTGCCCTACCTAGCTATGAACGACGAACACCCTGCCCCCATCTGGTCTCGTAGCATTCCGAGCAGGAAGCCGAAATTATTCCTCACCAGACTGGCAGTATCTGGGCGTCGCGCAAGACAGCCCATCGGATTTTGGTCAAGAATTGGTCCGCGAGCCAAACAGGAGAAGAACGATGGGCACCATGACCGGACTTGGTCCTCCAGGGCATGACCCGAGTCTCCTGTCCCCACAACAGTCCAACAATTACCCCTGACAACGGAGAATCGTCGTTTCCCAGGCCCATGCCGTGCCGACAGCAGTACAAATGCCCATATTTGGACCCCCCCTCTCTCTGTCTCGTCTTCCTCGAGTCGAGCTTAGCTCGTAGCGGCCCAACGCGACGATCCCCAGAATGATTCATCCTGCCAAAGTAAAAAGTCAAGTGACCCGCATTCCCCTTTTTGCTGACCGAGGCGTAGAGTCAACTTGAAGGATATTCAGGCGGTGTGGCGAAACGCAACCTAATCTTGGCCGGAGGAGGATTGCCGTGACCAGGCCAGCCAACCCGGCTTCCTGCCATCTTCGTTCTGTCGGCCACCTCCATAAATGGACATGAGAGAAAAGTTTGACGCTCAGCACGGGGCCACATGTCGGGTGAGATTGAGGCCAACCGACAGTTGGACGCGGACCACAACGTGGCGCCGGAGAAGGGTACTGTTACCACCCCCGTCCCCCGGTATGACAAGTCGTATGCACAGTGATCTATTCTGAAGAGGGCCTCAGCCTGCCACAGCAGACTGTATCACTTCACGCCGCTGTTGCTTTTTCAACTTATTTCTTCAGCAGACGTGCATGCATGGAAACGAGCGGTTGGTCTGTCAACCTGCTCCATTCAATTCTAATCTACCTATCCCGAGGACCATTTCGTATACACGTCGTGTTACAAGCGTACATATCGAACATCAGACGACCACGCACACCGGCAAGCTTCTACTGCCGAGCGGGAATTACTTGCTTGCGCCCAAGTCAAGACAACCACCCAGCTTCTGGGTCCTCGTCCCCTCAAGTACCACTTCTAGACTGACCGATACCTTCGTCAAGCTCGAGATCTGTGTTGTGACACGCCCATGGCGTGATGCACTCAGACCCGACTCTATTTGGTCTCATCACCTCTGTTCCAACTCGTCAGCGTCGCATTCTCAGCGTAGTAGATCACGAATAATTTCATACTTGTATACCTCACTCTCAATGTCGATATTGAGGTCACTCAATCTTCCAAGATCTGGATCTGCCCAGCCTCCGATGCCAGCAACAATGGGGTCAAGATCAGCTCCCGCCACGAATGGCTCGCCGATTGTGGGAAGAGAACCTGCGGTCAGGATACCATTCTCAGTTTGCGTACCACCGTTCCAGAAAACCGGTGAGAAGAGGAAGGCGGATTGGCTGAGGCATTCGGAGGTGTGGCTGAGTGTGCTGGGTTGTTGCTGCTGGGTGCTGGAGGTGGACTGCAGGGTGGACGTACTGGCGGCTGATGCCGAGTCCTGGGTGGACTTGGGGATGTCCTGGCTTGCTGACATTTTGACTTTGAAAACGAATACAGAGCTTGTAGCGCGTTATGGCGGGGTGCGTTCGGAGTCAGTCGACCGAAGGTGGGGAAGCGATGTGCGAAGCGTAGGCATGTGATACGACTGTTCCGAGTCGCGACAGCTGCTTAGGGGATGTCATCTTCGATGGAGATCTAGGAATCTGCGACGAGCCCTAGTATTTATACCTAGAAATACTCAACTGTGTTGAGAGCTTGGGCGAGGCAGACACTGAGGAGCCAAACTCGAAGAGCCTCAAAACCCAGAACTGTCACATAGGCACCCAGACATGAGAGAGCGGCGCGGATGCGCCCACACCCTTAATCCCATTGTCTGTCGACCGCATCCTCCACCATCAGCCTCCGACGACAAGAGAGAGAGATGTGGCACGCAGTTGGGCAGGACGACCGGTCACAACGCGACGTCCAATGGCAGCCGCTTGGAATAAACCCCCTCCAAGCCCGCCTGAAGCCGGCGGTGTGCACTGAACCTCGCAGCCTTTGATATTTGGGGCCTGCGCTCGTCCTCGTGCATAGGTGGCATTGGCAGAATCCAGCAACACAGGCGAAACGTCCTTGTCATGTTGCCGCTAGAGAGCAGGTATTGACGACGGTCGGAATGACGGACATGTCCGCTGCTTCCTACACCGCCAGTCCAGCCGCGGTTTTGCGACAACCATTGGCGATGATGGGTTACAGAAGATTGGCCACGTGGAAGGCCGACCCTTCTTGCGAAAGCAATTGTGCATGCGTGCATATGGCCAAGGGTGTGCGGCAAGACAGTTATCAACCCGAGCTGCCGGTCGAGAGTGAGGTCAGTTCTCAACATGCAGCATCAAAGTCAAGCCTGCTGGAATCGAGGCGCGATACCATGCCCACGGTAGTGATCAGGCTCACCTATGAGAGGGGTTACGCTTCACTGCCCACCTAAGGTGTCTTGCCTAGGTAGGTACTTGGGTACCTAGGTACCGAATGTTGGCACCTGGCTCAGGTACCACTTGTGGCAGTCGAACATGTTAGCCGCCATTCGATTGCATGCAATATGTTGGCCGTGCTGCGGGTGCAGAGGCGAAACATGCAAAGCTACAGACAGGGCGGCATAGTGATAGAATACAGGTGTACGGAATGACGGCTTTCTGCCTTGACAGAGGTGGTCTACACAGTGGTGGGTACGCGGCGTCACGGACAAGAGATCAGGGGTACAGTACCTTGGTGGAGCTATGGTAGCGTGGACCTGTCGAAACGCCATTTCCCACCGTCCTACCTGTCAGGCAGGTGGGTTTGATGTTGGTAGGCCGAGACCCTTGGTTCCTGCTGCCTGTGCGATGTGTGTGCTACTGCCCAAGTCGACCTACATGCAGAGAAGGGTAGGCCCGACCCATGTGGTAGTGGTTGCAGTCAGCGTCTGTGCTCAAAGCTCACACGATTAGCGGCATGTGGGTGGCAGGCTGCACTGCGCTCTACTGCGCTGCACGAGTGCTTACCCTAGGTACCTGCTAGGCACATGGCGTGAACGCTTGTCTGCCCTGTGGAGGCGAACGCGGATGACCCCTCACTTTTGTGGAACAAGCCAAGGCGTGCCCCGCGGCTGCTGCTGGCAGCGAGCTTGCCCAGCCTCAGGACCCGTCAGTTCGGGCACATGCACGCCCTAAATGAGATCACCGCCCATGAGCCGATCAATGTTCGGAAAGAAGAAGAAAAAAAAATACCCATTGTGTGACAAATGAAGACCAACCAGGCCCCAGGGCCCCGATTCAGAGAGCATCCTCAGCTCCGTCAATGATATCAGTTCTGCTCTGCCAGTCCACCTCTGAAAATTGCGATTAATATATTCTTCATCGGCTAGTGCTTTGGTGAGCGGCCCAAGCTCCTTGGTGGGTATCGGCACTCGAGCCTCGCCAAAGACACTACAGGGGGCTGCCATGGCGCATAGCTCACAAGGAACCAAGTAGGGCACAGAAGGTTTCACCTCGCACGTTGTTGCCCGCCTCGGGACGGCACGAATGCGATCCGCTGCTGTCCACATTGTTTGTGAAACATGCCCAATGCCTACGACCACAGGGGTGTAGGTACGTGTTGATGCACTGCAAACTTTGCCCAAGCCAGCACCATCCTTCGTCTATTGAGTCTTTCAAGGAAGACGTCAAATGGTTAAAGAGCTGTTGACAGTCTCGAAATGGCCACGTAGGGTGAAGCTGGCAACATACCTGCTTTCTCTGGTGCGTGCTTTGACATTTGCCTGGCCGCACATGGTCGAGTCTCTGGTGTGAGAGGTCGAGTCAGGGCTGTAGGAGAACGAGTCAGTCTAAGGGACAGCCAAGCTCACCTTGCGCAAAGCAACAATGGCTTCAAGGCGAGTACTTAAGGGTGCTGAGCGACCCGTTGAGCTGTCTGGCCCTTTTCTAATCACTACATCCATTCCATTCTACTTCGCAACGAGCTGCTGGCACCTCTCACTTACATTTGTACATTTCTTGATCATTCGAGCAACGCGAACTTTTTCTCAATCCAACAAGCCGACCATCATGCAGTTATCTGCAGTCATCGTTGCACTCTTCGCGAGCATGGCTTTCGCCGCTCCCTCTGTGATCGAAGCACGCCAAGACACAATCGTACGGAAAGCATTGGCCAGATGGAGTAAAAGAGCTGACAATCGATGCAGTGTCAACTTTGCCGCGAGGACTGTTTCTTCAGCCGCGGCAACTTGGAAACCTGCCTGGGCCATTGCAACAACGACCTAGGTTGTAACTTGACCCCTTGAGGTCATGACAGCTTTTCGTCGGCATGGCTCCACCACGGCCGAAAATTGACAAGGGCCGGGGCCGGGGGTGGCGAGGGACGATGTGGAGGGTCAGGGGTGCATCATAGCGTACCTACCTAGGTTAGGGTATCCTCTATTCCTGGTCGCGCCGAAGTCTAAATGGACGTCAAATATGCTGGGTTCCTGGTTCCTTTCCTTGTCCTCATGCGTCAGAGTGAAGTCAGAGAGATGCAGTCGCTTGTCTGACGTTATCTCATGTGCTCCGTATGACAGGCATGCCAGGTCGGGTGGGTCGGGGTGGTCAACTGATGACCAGGCGATTAATTTTGTGGGACGCTGTCCGCTTTCTTCTGCTGGCACACGAGGACTGCGATAGCCAGGCAGCATCTGCCCGATTATGAAGAAAAAGCAAATGGTATTGCTGACGGCATGTTGATCCCGCTGTGCGTTCTTCGGGGGCAAGGATTCGACAACAACCCAGGTCGCGACCTGGGGACCAACTGGACCACGCACGTTGTACTTCGCATCAAGGTGCCTCAATCCAAAATTCTGCCTGCTAGTCGCCTTTGGCTTCATCGTTCCAAACACGACAGAGTGCGCTGATATGTCTTACGGGTACAGGGAACGACTGCTCGGTACTTTGCATGCAGCGGGGAACTTTGAGGCATGAGCTCTTACGCTTGCTGGAGACCCTATCTGAAGATATCTAAGGTAAGATACCTAAGGTAGTCCAGGTCCATAACATCAGGGGAGATTCAAAAGCCCCCTCCCGTTTTCTAGCCGTTTGCGAGGTGGCCTGTTCTTCCTATCTAGCTTTGTCTGATCTCTCGTAAAGATACCGTGTGAGATGTGCAAGCATGGCGGAACAATCTGCAAGTAAGATTGCGGGCTCCCACCAGTACAGAAACGTCACGAGTGCCTTGGAAAAGCAACGTGTCAAAATAAGAACCTCTCATATGGCTTCTGCAGAAACAAAGCGGAGACTAAAAGCCACGACACGCGTCGAAGAGGAAGTAGAAAAGAAACGCCCAAAAAAAGTCCAATCGAGCGAAATGAAATCCCATCAATATCGTTGCTGGCATCTGGCGAGGCGATGACGGATTGACTCACCAATGAACTGCCGCCTAGGCAGCTCACCGCAAAAGAAAAACGACCGAGCCATCATGTCCTTCGATTCCAAGCCACCATCTTGGATCAAGAAGTGAATAATTTTTTTCGGGGGGGGCT